AAAAAAAAAAAAAAAAAAGAATACTACTCTGAAATGAAATGAACTACTGATATACACAATAACTTGGATGCATCTTTAGGAAATTATGCTGTCAAGAAAAACCAGTCTCCAAAGGTTACATCTCACTCTTGCCTAGGCTGGAGTGCAGTGGCATGCTCAGGGCCACCACAGCCTCGACCTGCTGGTCTCAGGCTATGCTTCCACCTCAGACTTCCAAGTAGCCAGAACTATAGGCGCATGCTACCATGCCCGGCTAATTTTTTTTTTTTGTAGAAACAAGGTTTTGCCAAGGTGCCCAGGCTGGTCTCGAATCCACAGGCTCAGGCAATCCACTCGCCTCAGCCTTCTAAAGTGCTGGGATTACAGGTTGAACCACCGAGCCCGGCCCTAATTTTTGTATTTATTGTAGAGACAAGGTCTCGCCAAGTTGCCCAGGCTGGTCTTGAACCTCTGGACTCAGGCAGTCCTCTCACCTCGGCCTCCCAAATTTCTGGGATTACAGGCTTGAGCCACCTAGCCCGGCTATAGGTTTTTTTTTTTTTTTTTTTTTGAATTGGAGTCTCTCTCCATTGTCCCAGCTGGAGTGCAGTGGCACTCTCATGGCTACCCCAGCGTCAACCTGCTGGGCTCCAGCAATCCTTCCGCCTCAGCATTCCAAGTAGCTGGAACAACAGGTGTGCACTACCACGCCCGACTAAAAATTTTATGTCTTAATACACGCGTACAAACACAAATGAGTACAAGTAAAACTGGGGACATTTGAATGAGATTGGTGATTGCATCAATGTCAATGCCCTGATTGTTATATCATATTATATTTTTGCAAATGTTACAATTGGGGGACACCAAGTAAAGTGTATAAGAAGTCTCTATTATTTCTTACAACTGCTTATGAATCTATAATTATCTCAATGAGAATTTCAGTTAAAAAAATCTGGGAGCCTGGGGCAAGTTCCAACTGACTTCCAAATTTCTCACCTTTCTGTATCCTCAGCTACAGAATTGTGCACAACTCTAGAATATAGATACCTTTGTATTGGAAGCTGCCCTAGCTGAAAATTCACTATACCTACAGTGGCAGGGTAATCTGTCGGCATCCATTGATTTGAGTTTTGTTCTCTCACAACTGTGGGAGCCTGGACTCCCTCTCCACCCAGGAAGTTCCAAGTATTCTTGCCTCTGAGGAGAATTATCACCTGCATCTTTGTTTCCAAACCATTGAGAGCTCCTTTTTCACCCATGGTTTCTGAGCAGGTGGGGCTAGGGCCAGGATTCCATCTTTAAAATGACCTTGGAAGAGAGGTGGTCTTCCTTGGAAGGGGCAATGTTGACATGTGAGAGGGCTAAGGGACCCTATGGCGGCTAGGCAGTCTGCAATCAGTGGGGTGCTAAGAGAGGAACCCCTGTGGCAACTGAAGCATAGGGTGGCAGCAGGGCATAGCACTCATGGCATCACAGATGAAGGACCTGCCCCCAACCAGATAAGACTCTCTTGTCTGACCTGAGGAACAAATATTACCAGAGTTACATTTCCTAAGAGTCAGGCAGGTAAAGGCTATAAATAGATTAAACTGGTTTAGAAAAAAAATGAAAAAGAATAAAAATAATTTATGTGCATCTGAATGTCATGGACAAAAATCTTACAGACCAAAGGAGAATGGATGCTACATCTTGGAAAGGCTTTAAACAACAATAGCTTCAAGCTGCCACCTGAAACCTGGTACTTCTCAGCCAATGAGAAAATAAAATCATCTTCCCTGAGCTATTATATTAATTAAAATAGCTTTAAATCTAGAAAGAGCCATGAGACTTTACCTTTATATAACCTGAGCCCAAGACACATAGATCACACTATTTGGGGCTACTGTAAATTATTTATGCATCAAGTCCTCACTTTGATCAGTAGCTAAAACATGTCCCCTACATGGGAAATGGGTTTAACAGATTGAGAGAATTTGTCAGTCTCTGTGAGGAAAGCTGTCATTAAGGGCTACAGCAGACTTCCAGTAGGAAGTCTCCGGGTTGCTTCTTTCTCTGTACAACCCAGACTCCATCACTCAAAAGGGAGGTAGCACCAGATCGGCAGCCTGGAGTGGCATTTGGGCCTGGCTCTGTAGGTTGTGCCTGGCAGCCCTTGCAATTGTAAATACTAAGGAAGTTCATTTTCCACAACTGGCAGCGTCCAGGACCTGCCATCAACCTGGGAAAGCAATTTCTGGAGAATCCAGATGGCAGTTCAAGTAGGACCTGGCAAGAGGCTAGGAAGCAAGAAGGTACAGTGGGTGAATCATGTTCCAGACACCCCTTCACATCTGTCTGGGACCTCACTCCACCCTGCTCTTGTTCAGGAGGCTGGCCTCATTGCACTCATCACCAGGCACCCTTTTCTCTGACCACTAGGGAGCTCTGGGAAAAGATGGAGGAAAGGAGGAAGGAGGTATCTTCTCCTGGTTCCCTCCCAAGCTGGCTATATATCTCTTCCCAGGATCATTGCTCCTATCCCGTGACCTTCTCCACACTTCTCTTTCTCCTTCTGGGTTCTGAGAGCCATGTCTCCCTCTTGTCCTTTTGGGTTCAGTGGTATTGACCACTTGGTTGTTACCAGCCTGTGAGGCTACCTTTTCCTGAGGCCTCCACATTCACTCCTTTATAAACATACACCCCTGCATTCTCCTGTTCTGAGTATGCTTTTTCCGTGTGACCTGACTGATGATAAATAGTACCCCTCCTTGTCTCCAAGTCTGTTAGAAGTGATGGGCCTGTGGCCCTGCATCCCTCTCCAGTTCTATGAAAGCCTGTTCCAGTCACTCTAGGCCACTTTTGCCTCCTTTCCAATCTTTCCTGGATAAATGTGCAGGATGGTACCCAACTATCTCCTGCACTACTTCCCTGATCAGAGGAGGACTCCTGCTTACTCACAAGGCCCTAGACTGTGAGGCTGGCTGTGGGCTAGACTGTGGGCTTTTTTAGTCATCAAGGAATCTGTATGTGATGGCATTTGTCGGCAAAACTCAAGGCGTACTGGGTTCTGAAGACTCTTTCCTCATAGCTACCCCATCCCATCTGGGACCTGATACTTCCCCCATCTAGAAGGGACAGTGAGCAAGACTGTCCAGTTTGACACCTGCTCTTCTCCATCCTACCTGTAGAGGGAATATAGTGTTCTAGGGTCCTGGAAGAAGCAGGAACTGGCCCCGTCACCCCCGCTGCCCTCAGGGTTGCCTTGTACCTGACATCGCTGCAGGAACACTGCTGGAGGCTGGGGCTTGGCTGCAAGGCGGTATTCTCCAGCACTTTCACTCTTGAACTGGCCTCTGTAGTGCCCATAGAAGCCATTGCTGTGCTATAACAAAGCAGGCATGAGGGTAAAGCCCACTCAAACCCCCACCTTGTGTCCTAGATCTCAGGGCCCTATCTGTGGGTTCCAGAGAAGCCAGACCAGAAGCCCCTCATGAAAGTTGACAAAATGTAAAATAATCTGAGTAGTTGGGACACTCCTGGAGAGGGACCAGCAGAGAAGTGTCTCCATCTGCCATTTGTACAGTTGGTCTCAGCTGCATTGACCCACTTGGAAGGGTTATGCGTGTATGGGGAAGGGGTACCATTCATTTATTATAGGCAGGACTACTGTCTAGAAGTGTGGTCCTTTCTTAAGGAGCCTGAGAAATCCCCTTTGTTGTCTTCTCCACAATGTTAATAGTGGATCAAGGGGTCCCTGAACAGCAAGAGCCCAATAGATCCTCTTTTTGCATTTATTTATTTACTTATTAATCTTTTGTAGAGATGGGGGTCTCACTATGTTTCCCAGGCTTGTCTCAAATTCCTGACCTAAAGTGATCTTCCCATCTTGACCTCCCAAAGCACTGGGATTACAGGTGTGAGCCACCATGCCTGGTCAGTTCCTTCTGCATTTATTGACAAAGTTGTGAACACCCATTTGCCACACGCTTTGCTATTCCAGGGCAAGAAGGGCACCCTTGAAACTGGAGTGACAAAGTAAGGAATAAACTTTCCAAAAGGAACGCTTCACCAACAGAGGATACCTCTTGAGAGAATTTTAGAGAGAGGTACTGGCAAGAGACACAGAAAGTAACACCTATCAGCGGTCCAAGAAGGGGCCATATTGTGCTGATGTTATTCGGTGGACACCCTGTGGTTGATTGTATTTGGAAACTCCTATGGCCCAACCTCTTTGCCCTGGGTTCTTCCTGGAGAGGATGGGTGTGTCTAGTCCTCCACAATCATAACACTGAGCAGAGGAACCTGTTCTGAGCCTGGCCTCTGACCATCACAGTAGACTCCTTAGCAGGACTAGGAAGCCCCATATCTTTTCATCCCACTGAAGACTTGAGTCACTTGTCTGTCCATACTTTTATTATCTGTCAAGAACCTCTTGCTGTCTATTCAGATTAGTTCAACAGTATTTACCGTAACTTTACTGTGTTCCAGGCATGGGACTGGGCATGAGAAATACAAATGGAAAAAACATAATCTTTGCCCTCAAGTGTTCCCAGACTAGAGAGCAAACTCCAAAAGTTTGGGGGCTCAAGGGATGAACTGAGAATAAATGGAGGTGGCTAGAGGACTAGGAGTTTCAGCTGACTAGCAGGAGATCAGGATACATGGTATTAGGAAGACTAGGCAGCCTCCAGAGGTGACTTCAGGATGGTGGAAGGGAAGTGGGCAGTTCAGGGTCCTCCATCAGACTGGATGCTACATGAAACTCTTCTCACTTTGCTCTCCTGACTCAGTCAGATTTCAGGTACAATCTAAGGGGCCAGGATGAACTATAAAGTGCACTCTTACCCATGAGCCTATTAAAGCACCTTGCATCTTTCCAGGAAGGGAGTGGAAAAGGCAAATGTTCCTCTTGTCTTTTTGAGGCTGTGTCTGATGAAAGAGAATCTCTGGAGGTCAACTTCTTGTTGCTTAGCGACAAGGAAAGGTTGTGACTGCACAATGCTGTTGTTTGTTGAGGCAGCACCTGGCCTGTTGCCCCTTTGTTCTTGCTGCTCTATTTATTTTTATGAGATAAATCTGCCCCTTGGCACTAACAGCCTGGAAGAATTCTTATATATAGAAACATATAGGACTCCACGGTGGAGTCTCAGAGACTCACAACCAACGAAATATTAAAGGCAAATCCTGCATTAGAAAAACTATGCATCAGCTGGTCGCAGTGGCTCACACGTGTAATCCCAACACTTTAGGAGGCAGAGACAAGAAGATTACCTGGTTCGAGACCAGCCTGAGCATCATGGCAAGACACGTCTCTACAATAAATCAAGAAAATCAGCCAAGCACGGTGGCACATGCCTGTGTTTCCAGCTATTTGGAAGGCTGAGGTGGAAGGATCACCTGAGCCCAGCAGGTCAAGGTTGCAATGACCATGAGTGTGCCATTGCACTCCAGCCTGGGTGACAGAGTGAGACTTCAACTCAAAAAGAAAAGAAAAACTATGCATCCATACTGCCAGGGATATAAATTTTGAAAGCATTCCATGGAGTGAAAAGAAATGCTGAAGGGGTTGGTGGCTCTTAGGACAAAATTGCTGTTTCAGAATAGGCTCTGCCAACTTATTTCTTTTTTTTTTTTTTTTTTTTT